AGCTCCTCCATGGTAGCACCCTCATGATTCAGCCAGTCCTATCACTGTCTACATGTATGTTTCATCACACATAACTATGCCACTGTGTTGGGCAGTACTATCCTACAGTTGAGTTGACTGCCTAATAGCACTGCATGTATAGATGGTGACACTTTACTGTGGTGCTAATTAGTCTGTTCTGCAACAAAGTCAACCTACACCAGGATGGCTGAGTGGTTAACATGTTAGACTTATGATTCAATGGAAGTATGTCTGTGTGGGTTCAAGCCCTACTGTTCCTTTAGATTGCTTCAGGCTAGACATGAGGAACAATTTTTTTACAAATTGAGTGCTGAGTGTTTGGAACAGGCTCCCCAGAGGTGGTACAGTCATCTACCCTGGAGATCTTCAAAATGCATCTTGTTGGGGTCATCTGATCCTAGCAGTCTTTCCTAGCCAAGTGCAAGGGGGCTGGACCCAATGATCTGTAAGGTCCCTTCCAGCCTCTAACAACTATGAAACTATGAAAGTGTCTTGTGTAGACACACCCAAAAAGTGGGAAAACTGGGTTTAATCTCCTTTTCTGTGTGAAGGAATTCAAACCCATAGCTCTTAGGCAAAAACTTTAACCAACAGGTGATGAGGCTGTTCAAGGTAGGAGAACTCCATTTCTATCGAGGATGTTCCACAGTTCAGTAAACTGAGATAATAGGAAAAGAGGGGGAAGCATGTGTTCTTAGTAGCTTAATGATGATGGCATTTTCCTGGAAGTCAAGAGACCTGGGTTCAAGGTCATGCTCTTAAGACAGTTTCTATATCACATTTTAGCATATCTTGAATAAAACACAGAAACAGTTGCAGGAGCAGGGCACTCAGCAAGTAAGTGCCAGGATTTCTACTTACAAAGCTCATGCTGAATTTGCTTGGCCACACCTGCTCCTAGGCAAGACCTTCTGTCTTCTGGAGCTCTGCTTTTAACCTATGAAACAAGAGGAACATATGCTTTGCACTTTCACAATTTTTTTCCCCATCTGTGGATTTCAGAGATGGGAAAAATAGGTAGCTCTATTTTAGAGTTGCAATAACTGAGGAAAATCCTTATGGGTTATGACATACAGAATCATTAGACAGGATTTGGCCATAGCATAGAGGAAGCTTACAACAGAGCTAGAACTAGATTTGTCTGCTGAACAACCAGGCAAGCCGATAGAGCATGGTAACACGGGGGTGGGAGGAGGGGTGTGATTATGACAATAGGCCTAGACTCCACCTTTGTGGGAGGAGCACCTCAGTAGCTAGCAGCTGGCATTACAGCAGCTGGTACTATCCTGTGCACCAAAGCAGAGCAGGGGGCAGAGGTGCCCTGTTATGTCTCTGTTACAGTGTAGTGCCTCTGGGACGTAATACTTATAGTGGGAGTTCTTAAAAGTGACTCAACTGGTACCATTGGCTTACAGGTTTCTGGTGTCACAATTATTTCCAAATTCCTTTTACTCGGTTTACATTTAGAAAATAGAAAATCTATCTTTTAACAGGAAATTCTCCCTGGAGATCTTAAGGTCAAGTAATTTCCCTTGTGTTCATCATCACCAGACCACAGACCACAAGTTTGTCTTCAATTACATCTGTGGTCAATGAGTTTAAATAGGCATCACTAATCACCTTCAGATGAATTATGATGATGTGAATGAAGTCAGATTTGGCTCTGGAATCAAAATTTAGGAAGCACTTCTGCTGTTGATCTATGTGAAGGAAAAGAAGCCAGCTCGCTCTTAGTTGGGTTGCATCCCGAAAGCTATTATGAATGAAGATGAACTACTCCACAGATATGACATTAGACCTACACCGAGGGACTATGTTGGACCATTTTTACTCACTTTTTCGTAGTAGAACGACAAGTGCCCCCGGCAGCAATGGGAGTGTAGTGGCAGGAGTGTGACGGCAGTAAGCAGTAGCTCCTGCAGATGCCACTGGCACTGTCAGCAGTGGGCAGGGGCGGATGGCGAGCGCTGACCAGGAATCAGCAACCACCCACAGATGCTGCCAGCAGCATCAATGGTGGCCAGCAACGATTGCGGACCGCTCGCAGATGTCACTAGCAGTGTTGGTGGCGGAGTGGCGAGTGGCAACCACGAACAGTGTTGGCAGTGCCTTTCTGTAGGAAATTCAATGCCACACTCCAGGGATGCATGTGCACCCGCGTGCACCCCTTACTCGTCGCCCCTGGTAGAATCAGTCTTGAAACTCTTTGTATGGGTCAACAGATATTTGAAAAATGGCATTTCATCTGGAAAAGGTTTTCCTATTTGGAAATTAGAGTCAGAATGGAAAGTAAAAAAAAGCTGAAAAGTTTTAGGACTTTTTATGTGAAAACAAAATGGAAATTTTAATTTTATTTCAAAATGTTGATTCAAAAGAAACATTTTTCTTTCAGTAATTCTTGCCAGAAAAAAAGGATTAACTGAAAATGGCTTTTTTCCAAAGGAAATCTTTGCTTTTTTTATTTTTGGCAGGAGAGAGAACCACATAAGGTTTTTTTTAATTTTATATATTATCTGGTTTAGTGCTTCTCATTTGAAAAAGACCATATATATTTTATAAAGGTAGGTGGGGTGTGGTTGACACATTTTAACCAAGGCAAAACTAAATCACAGAGGATGTAAAGAATGTAATTGACTATGAGCTGTGTGCAGCAAAAGTGCAGCTCAGAAATTCTGCTAAGACCCACTTTATTCTTGTCCCTAGGTACCTGAACTTTGTCAACACTACTTCAGATCTTACTGCAATACTATGTGTAGGCAGCAGTTCAGCAGGTAGGGCATCTGTGTTTGAATCTCAGCTACAAAACAGGGTATTTGTAGGACCTGGGGCAAGCTGTTTAAATCAGAATTGACCTTTTTTGTAAAATAGTGCTTTCACAACCTGGCTCAGTTCGCCAGTCTGAACAGATACTAGTCAGCTGTGTGTAAATCCAACTTCTGGATCTTACATGCTACTAGTTCCCTGGGTGTGGATGTTGGCTGGTCACTATTTTTATGTCTGGGTCTTGGAGAACCCCACAGTCCAGCTTTTTTTTTTGCCCTCATAACCAGGACTTCACCCTTCCTTAGTACCTGGTTCTTCTGGTGTGTGATGATGTACTAGTTTCCTAGCTCAGAATGGCACCCCTCTTTTGAAACAGCCCTTGTCCGCTTTACTGTACACATCCTTTCTATAGTCTCCAGGCTCCAGCCTCTCCTTTCTCAGCTGTTGTGTAAAAAGCAATTCATAATCAATCATTGTCCAAGCAGAAAATCTTTTGTGTCCCCAGGGAAATCATATAACATCAGTAGCCCGTGAAGATCATATTCTCCCATGAAGATTACAGCACAAAGTAGGATCCTTGAGACGGAAGGGGTACTTGCAACAAAACAGAGTTCATGCAGCATTTTACAAGGCATATTCCAATTTGTCCCAGAGGCTAAGATTATTTGCCTCCCTCATAGTCATAGGCCTCTGTCCACAAAGTGTCAGAGCCAAATTCTACAACAAAGTCTCCAACACTGAAGCAGACTGAAATGTTGCATTCATTCTACTTAAAAACTAAGAAGTTGAAGAGTTTTATGGCTATGAAATAAACACAATCTATACTATTGTCCTTTTTATTTATTTTGTTATTAAATTGAATGGGTTTTATATCATTCTTGCATTTATAGGTTTGTGCTGAGATTGCTAATAGTCATAAGACAATATTGCTGTCCACTGTAGAAGTTGTCACTGAGTAAGCTGTAGATATTAGCAGTGGAAAAGTCAGGGGCCCCTGTGGTTCAGTGGTAGAATCCTTGTTTGCTGCATAGAGGACCCAGGTTCAACTCCCAGCTGCTTGTACAAATAGAGGCACCAAATGTCTGAACCCAGTCTGGCCTTTGGATTCTGTCTCAGTTGCCTACAGTAGGGATGGAAGGTCTAGGCAGCCTCTAAAATACTCCTACCTAGGCATGTGCATTGAAGGTCTGGGTGGGTGATGTCTCCTGCATATACTGTGATCTAGAAGGATCAATGGTTGCCAATCAGTGCTTTTGAAAAGTGCCTGGGTTAAGGCTCTGGTGGACCTTGAGAGGGTGGAAGAACCAGAGAAGCAACTGTTGAGAATCATCCACCAAGTAGGTTTGGTGCACTGATGGTACTTGCAAGTTAGCGGCCATAGCAGAAGCACTCATGTTGCAGGCCTCTCAGATTCTAACCAGTCTGTGAATTCTGCTAAATACCTGTCATCAACCATCTCAGACAGGACACAAGAAGAAAATGAAGCAACTCTCAGCTGACCTCAGGATCTCAATGGGGCTTATGAGAGAAAGTGGTCTCCTAGATATTTAGGGCCATGTACATCAAATTACCTTCCTGAAAAGCTACTGAGAGACACTGGAGCACTGGATTTATACCCAAGAGCAGTGGAGAATCATCCCCACATATGCTACTATGCATGTTCATAGAAATTTGTCAGATCAAAACATAAATTATCCAAGTTATGTTACACAGTGTTCCTCAATAAAAACTGCTTCAATGGCTTGCTGTAGTTCAAATGTCATCCTTCAGAGCTGTAAGTGTTTCGCTATAGGTTTGTCAAAAAGAAGCAGTGAGATATTTTCTTCACTGTTCAAAATTATTAATACCAGAGGGAATCTTGATAAAACATTAAAAAACAAAACACCCCTGAGGAGAGGCTAAGCATAGGAAATTTGATCCTCAGAGTGGAAAGTTTCAGAATATTATGAACATCTGTTATTAAGGCTTAGAATGTGAATTGTTTCCTTGTTAGTATAAGTATGAGCCTGTCCCTGTTTAATGCAATTTTAAGTTGCTGTTTCTCGTGGAGGTTTCAGCCAGGAAATGGTTAAATGCCCAGGATAAAGGAGTGCTAGTCAGCAGAGAAAGAAGGCAGATGGGCCCAGCCCTACAGCTTCTTTCCAGCTTGACTTGTTATTGGTGTGACTGCTGCTGCTGCTGCTGCTGCAGTTAGTCATTCCAATCTAGGTGGAGTTCCCCCTCCTTCTACGTCTGTTCTGATTGAAAAGCTTCTCTTACACATACATGTAAGCGCATGCTTCCAGGAGCCTTTATAAAAACACCCTTCACCCCACATTGCTGAATCAGTAGCAGAACAATCTCATCTTATTCACCCCTCCTCTTGCGAAGCTACTGACTGCCCCACAAGATGGTGAAGTACGGCCTTGACTACACAAGGTGCAGATGGATCTTACCTCTGCTCTTGGGCATAGGGGTCATCTTTGGCATCATTGGGCTGGCTGGCTGGGCCTGGCTGGAGTCAGCAACGGTGCCGTATGTACAACGAGCGTCGTTATGGCAGACTTGTACGAGAGCTGACGAAAATTCAGAGTGGACTTGTGAACCCCTCACCACATGGGGTAAGTATTTGCAGAGGTCTCCCTATTCAGCCCTTTTAATCAGAGCTCCCAATAGTTGAAAGCTATCTTTAGGAGCATTTGGGGAAATAATTGAACCCACTGGAAAGCTCAGAAGAGTTCCATGGTGAGATAGAATAGAACAAGGATAATGCTTGTATGCTGAAAAACAAAACAAAACCCAGAGGGAAAAGGGAAGTTTGCTTCATAGGATTCAGTGGTGTATGTTCACAGTACAAAGATGCTTGTGGAAACAGCAGTGCAGAAAATGCTTAAAATATTATCTTTTTACTGTTTATGTTATATTATTTTTTAAAACAAATAACTAATAGCCTCTTCAGTAGAACCTCTTCTTTTGCAGAAATAAATAATGATTGCTGACCAAGTACATAAATTACTATGTAGCAAGTTGCATGGGTAAATGTGAGATATCAGCCCCTAATGCCAAGAGACAATTGGGAAGTAAAAAATGAGATTATATGAAACAGAGAAGTCCACAGTAAATGTCAGACCGGAACATACTTCTCAAAAATATTTTGGTTGATGGAAGTATCTACTTGTGATGTGATTAGGAAAGAGAATGTTAATACAAGAGAGAATCTTTTCCTTCAGTTTTGACAGAAAATGGATTTAGATTGAAGTCATTTTGATTATTCAAGGTATAAAGGTCCTTTGGTTATGAAATGAATGAAATGGTCAGAATGAAATGGTAGGCTTTTACATCCACCTTTCATTTGAAGAAATGTGCATGGACGGTGCAAAGCAGTGTAGAAACTGGCCTTCCAAAACCCCCACCAAAATTTATCGCCTTTTCATTCTGCTCCAGGGTCCTTTGCAATGGCTGACCAGTAGCAGTGAAAAGCTAACAGTCACTGATTTACTCACCAAAACCAAGTTACACACTAGTAGAATTTTTCAAGCATATTTTCTATTTACTGTTTTCTCCCTTTGGATACTGTCTCCCATATCTGTAAAACAAAAAAAGACATCACTCCATAGGTCCTTTCCTTTCTATATAAGAAATATGGTCCTGTAAACACTTGGTACAAACATAAAAGGATGGTGCAGGACAATTTGTTTGAAATTTCAACTTCTTTCCTTTCTCTCTTAGTTCTAGTAAACCAGTGGTAAAGATGCGTGCAATCAATCTGAGAGAGGCCACAAATTCTTGCATCAGATTTAAGCCCTGTGACAAAAATGTGGGGCCCATATTCTTAGTTCATAGATCCTCAGCTTTCTCATGTCTGTGTCTTAAACCAGTGAATCTTCCTTATGTCTGCACTTCTAAGCATATGTAGTGAATTGCAATATGAAGTCTAGCAGCTTCTTCCATGCTCTGGGTAAGAGAGAGAGGTCTGAATATATCTCTGAAAAGAAGAAATAGAAAAAAACATGCAAAGAGCTCTTAACAAAAAAATGAAATATTGTTTTGTTAAGTTTGGCTTCTATGGTCCTTAATTTGTACTTTCATTAAACGTCTTACGCACCTACGAATAATCCTCCCTCTCTTTGCCAGTTTCGTTTGGACAGGCCACCTTCAGAAGTTTCATTAGGGTGTTTCAGACAGTAATAGCAATTTGAAAACGAAACCGTTTGGTGTGCACTGAGTGGGAAAGTATGCAGCAGCAGGGAACAGTAATGGTGGCATTGCTGAATGCACCGGTTACAACTATATAGAGAAATGATCACTGCACAAAAATGGCTTTACTTCAAAATTGTTGAAATTGTTACTTTCTGAAACACCTTAATCGTTTGCTTAAAACATTAGTGCGATGCTCACCAGCTCAGTAACTACTGTGTGTTAATGAACGAGTAGACATGCCCATTACTTAATCAATGAAAATTTAGGCCTAAATGATTTTCCTGAGATTTCACAGAACACCTTTGGCCAAGCTATGTACCAAAACCTAGGATGTTTGACTACTCCAGTTTGGTGCCGCTTCCTTTCTTTATACCGAGGTATGCTTTGGATCTGGATTGAATAATCAGACCATTGGAATGAACCAGCATGAAATGGGCCCTTTAGAATAAACTAACACCACATCTTGAAAATACCTCTAACTGGAAACAAAACTGCTTTAGCTTCATAGTCCCCTGCCTGAATAAATACTAGTAGGTCCCATGCACTAGTAATAACCTGCTGTAATGAAAAAATTAAGTTACCTTTGCTATTTGTTTTCAGTGCCACACAGTACCTGATAAACCATAATCCACCAATTATATTCACCCCTTTCATAGCCATACAGACATTAGAAAAAGCACTGTAGTTTGTAGGGGAAGGAAGTGTTTTGATATTTTTTCTTGAGAACTGATATCTTTGTTTCTTTCCCATCGTGCAGTTCCCAATTTCCCTCTTAAGGGCTTGATTCCCAGCTTTTCTCCCTCACCTTTAATTCTCAGAAGTCTCAGAGAGTTATCTTTTGAAACTGGGTTGCTATAATGGGATTGCCCTTACTGGTGTGTAAGAAGTATTTAGCACTGAGAGTCTGCTGCCCACTGCCAGTGAAGTTTATCAACATCATTGGGACAATGACTATATTTTGCCCCTAATATCGTTCAGTCTAATGATCAAAACCCTTCATGGTATTCAGTGAAATAAATTCAAATCAAATTCCCCAGTAGCAAAGTCTGTGTTTACCCTGAATCTCAGCCTTTTTTGACTTATTTTATATAAATCATAGGTTGCCTAAGAAAAAGCTAACATCCTTAAGAAACAAATCTCACTGCAAGAGAATGAACTTTACCCATTAAGCTGGCTGCAGCAATGGAGTTTTTAATTTCTTAGGAACTGGCTGACAGAGCTGGTGGAATTTACAGCTGCATAAGCAACACAGAAGAGGCTTATACTCTTGGAACTTAAACCATTAAAGGGACAGACCTTACAAACTCTCCTGGGGCAGCTGTGTTCTAGGAGAGCTTCAGAATGTCCTAGATTTGGGGAAAATATTGTAAACAGAGTCCAGGGAGTGTATAATCTCTACAATGTCCCTGAAGAGTTCATATATTCTAATTAACTGATTGGCCTTACCACAAATACTTTATTACTTTACTTGCAATTGAAGAAAAAGGAATAAAATACATATTGCATTTTTGGACTCTGAAACAAGTAATGTGAAATAGACTTTGTGGAACGTCTCTTTTGTGTACCAGACAGCTTTCAAGGAAAGAAAATCTCTTGCTCTAGGACACCTAAATGTCCGAAGACAAGGTCTTTCTTTCCATCAAAAAAGTTTAGTATGGAGGGTTAAGAAAGCATTGTAAAATTTGAAGATCAACTTCAGCTCCATAATAAAAATAACATTTAGACAACATAAAGATAAAGCAATAATACACATGCGTGGTGACAGGTCATAGAAAAAGGCAGAAAGATGCTGTTTACAATACTGAATGTCAAAGTGAACACATAGATGTTACATTTATCGTTTGTATGGTGCCTTAAATTGAATGTGTGGCGTGTTCACACACTGGGGCTATGTGGTGCAGATGCCTGATAATTAACTAATTGTCAGACACAGCTTTGGACAGTCCCGTTTCTGGAACCGGCGATGGGCTGGGGACAGCTTTGAGTTTGGTACAGAGCCACGCCCTACCCAATCTGCAAGATGGGGCTGGGGGCAACTCCCCTGCAGTGTCATTGGGGTCAGAGGAATTTTATGGTCCATTCTAAAAATCACAGCTCTGCGTCTGGTATGGCAGGAGGCACAATGGTTGGGACAGGGAAAAAAATTCCTCTGATTCCAGTCACACGGTTGTTTTAACAAGCACCAGGGGACATAGAGCCATAGAAAAGTAGAGCTGGAATCTAGTCAAACCCCTGCTCAAGGCAGGATTGACCCTGCCTTAATAACCCCATTCAAATGCCCATCTAACCTGTTTTAAAAAATTCCAAGGCTAGAGATTCCATACCCTTCTTAGGTAGCCTGTTCCAATGCTTAATTTCCTTCATGAAAACGTTCTTCGTAATATCCAGCCTAAATTTCCCTTGCTATTTAGGACAATTACTCCTTATCCTGTCCTTACAGCCACAAGAAATAATCTCCACCCTGTGTACAACCACCCTTCAGGTATAACAAATCCACCTTCAGTTTTCTCTTCTCCAGACTTTTCCAGTTCTTTCATAAGTCAAGCTTCCAAGGCCTCTAATAATTTTTGCCACTCTCCACTAAATTCTTTCTAATTTGTCCACATTCCTTGAAGTGTGGAGCCCAAAACTGGACACTACTCCAGAGGAGGCCTCACGAATGCCCAATAGAGCTGATGAATCACTTCCCTTGTTTACAAGAGAAAATCCTAGCCAGCTACTGGCTTTTTTTTTTCAATAAAAAAATAAGTTGGCTCATATTCAGCTTACAGTCTACTCTGATCCCTCTGTCCTCTGCAGTACTGCAGCGTAGCCAGTCATTCCCCAGTCCATATCTGTTATATGATCATTCTATCCTACTGCAACAGCAAACCCCTTTGTGAAGCTGGTACAAGATCTCTTTGATTTTTTAGCTTGTTGGCTCCAGGTGTTCTCAGAACTAGGTGTGTCTCAGAAAGTCTGAAATACTTTAAAATATTTAATGTATTGTGCCTCAGGCTATGGAGATGTTTCAACGTGTTCTCTCCCTGTTGCTGGAAAATTATTGCTCCTGCTTTGTTAATCTGAATCTGGTGCCCCTAAAATGAAGGAAAAATCAATACGCCCATTCCATCAAATCTTTTTCTTATGCCTTTTCCTACATGCCTCCCATGTGCAAGGCATCCATCACTTGTCCTATGCACATGGCAAATGCAGATTTGGGGCTCTTTGCTCATGTCTAAATTTAGTATGAAATAGTAGGCTTATGTTCATAGTGGAAATAGAAAAATCTGTTACAGGACTTCTTCTATACCAAACAGAATTTCAGTATTTGCTGTGCTTCATACATCACAACCAATATTTGACTCTTGCCCTGTTCTGCACTGTGCAGAAGACTGCTTGTTTGCATATGTTAGTAGCTGAGAAAGATATTTTTCTTGTC